GTTTACATTCACTTTTCCAGCAATGATCATAATCGTGATTTTTGTTAGTAAAATTGTGAGACACATGTTTCTTCTTGTTGTTAATTTCCTATTATACGGCTTTATAGACACAGGGATCTCTCCCTCCACCTCCCCTTCCTCCTTTCCCATTCTCCCTGAACACACTGTTTTCATATATATATATATTCTTGCAAAAGAATAGTCCTTCAGCGACAGCCACAGTCAATAATTCTCTATCATGGCATTGCATTGCAGGTATAAGCAATGGTAGAAAATCTATTATCACACCACCAAGGTATATTTAACAGTTTCACTGGGAACCCTGCTTTTATTCAGAAGTAGAACTGCATATGGCAATGTATCTTCACTTCCTGGTATATGTTAGCCTCCATTATACAGTTCATTTATCAGAATGCACACACACACATACATACATATATATTTGTTTTGTATTTTGTCTGATGGTTGCCTATATCAGAGATAGCATGTAATATTTGTGTTTTGGGGATTGGCTTGTTTCACACAAGCATAATAGACTCTGGCACTATGATACTAGATTTTCTGCTTAAGTTCCCCACCACTCAAATTAATGTTAATCACTAATCCATAATGTTGAGTATCAGCAAATTATTAGAATGGGGATCCTTCAGAAGCAATTAAGTTAGAGTAAAGGATTCATAAATGGAGTGAATGTCTTTAATAGGCATGAATGATATTATACTTATCATTTGTCCAACATTGGTGTATTTTTTTAAAAAAAAATTGTTTATTTTTATTGGGAAAGCAGATTTGCAGAGAGAAGGAGAGGCAAAGTGATCACCCACTGGCTTGCTCCCCAAGTGGTCACAATGGCTGGGGCTGAGCTGATCCTAAGCAGGGGCCAGGAGCCTTTAAGTGTTTTGTAATTTGTTGGTTAAGGTCCAGACATGATTTATTGACCAAAATACCCTCGGTCAATAAGACTTTAGGATAAGCTGTTCTTCTTTTCTGGCAAGGAAGAAGTTTGCTTACTATTTCTGGTAACTGAGTGTGGCAAGGGATAACATTGCCTATCTTTTGTGATATCGATTTTGAAATTCTTCAATGTTCTCTTCTTTAATAATCCCTGAGAAACAGTTTTTGGGTTGTATCTCCCTATCATTATATAGAACCCCATTGATGTATAGTAAGAGGTAGAGAGAGAAAAGAAACATCCTAAAGGTCACATGACTAGATCTCTTTTTGTGATCTTCTACACTTTGACTTTGGTTCTCACAAGGGTTTGTTGGCCTTCTGTACACTTAGGTGAGACAGGCAGGCTGAAAGGGGCTGGAATTAGGTGTTTTCCTCCTTCAATGATGAAGGTCGGAGTGGGGCTAGAGTTTGATATCTCTCTTCCTTCATATGAGTTAGGTATGGGTAAAATTACTTTATTCAGAGTAGAAACTCCTCATGTACTTTGACATAGTTACTCTTCCCATCTCAGTGCAATAGGTGCAAGTCATTTTTCTTTTCCTGAACTTCACAGTGAGAACCATGGGAGAATTCCTGGAGATAATAACCCATGTTCATTCTTTAGCAATTGGTTAATTATTCATTGAGTGTTCCTACCAATTTCTGGCTTCAGAACTGACTTTGATTAAGTCAGCCATGCTGTTTTATATTGGAACTGATTGCCTCCAGGTTTCAGAGTGGTGATCCACTCCTGCCCCTAACCCCAATTCTTGGATCCATCTGAAAAGAGTTTTTGATTTTTGGTCTTCAGCCTTTGTGGTGGTATGAGGACATAGTTAATGATTTCCAAGATAACTAAGATTAAAAACCTCCAAGTTGCATTTTTATTTATGTTTAATGAAACACAATTTCTCTCTTCTTTTTTTTTAAAGGTTTATTTATATTTGAAAGATTTTATAGTGAGGGGAGGAAGGAAAGATAGAGAAAAGTGTCTTCTATCTTCTAGTTCACTGTCCAAATGGCCACAAAGGCCAGAGCTGAGCTGATCTGAAACTGGAAGCCAGGAACTTTCTCCAGGTCTCCCATATGTGCACAAAAGCCCAAGGACTTGGTCCATCCTCCACTGCTTTCCGAGGCCACTAGAAGAGAGCTGGATTAGAGGCAGAGCAACTGGAACACTAAACTGCACTAATATGGAATACTAGTGTCACGGGGTAGAGGACTAGCCTGATGCAGCTGAGTCTGCCTAACATCACAGCTGAGGAAGGCAGTTGTTTCCCTCATGGCCTCGGGCCTGACTGGGAGCCTGGGATTGCTGCTGATGCCCAACATCATGAGATGATATTGTCCGGCTTATTGCTAGTGTAGGATAAGATCCATCCTTTGAAGTACAGCTTCTACTAAAGGCATATTGCTTTTTGCACCTTTAGAAAGTTGAAGAATCTAAGCTAACCACTGTAAGTCAGAGTATCTAGACATGACTTTCATGGGAACACATACATTCAGACCCTATCAAGCTTAATATTATACAACTACATTAATATAGCAATAATTAAATATTCAAATTAAATATTCAAAAGACACATACTGCCAGAGTAAGTCTGTCACAATTTTATGAAGTGTTGGTCATATTTTAAATATCATATTCTAGAAAAAATTAAAGTAAAATTAGTTTTAAAAGAAAATGCATGATAGTACTAACAAGAATATAACTAATGTAGCTGTAATAATATCAAAGAAGACCTGCACACCCAGAAGAAGGAACTGAGTAAGAAGATGACAATGATGACTGGTGATCAGGTTATAATGATAGAAGGGTTCATTCCATGGAAAACAAAAGATTTCAAATGCTTATGTATAGAATAAAATAGCATCAGTCTATATAGCAAAAACTGAAGAAGTGAAGAAATCCACAATCATTTGCTAGGGTTTTTAGCACATCTGTTTCAAAAGTTTATAAAATTCAGATTAAAAATATTAGGAGAAAATTTGAATAGCATAATAATTAGCTCGACTAGTTGTCAGTATTGCACCCAACAGATACAGAACATATTATTTTCAAGGATACATTAAATAATTAGAACCTAAGTATTTGTTAAAAACTGAAAATCAATAATGAGAAAACTAGATTCCCAGATGCTTGAAAATGATCAGTTATTATCCAAACACAGATACATATTATATATTGTACATGCACACCCATACAGATGATTTATACATAAAACATATGTGTGAATTATATATGTTTATATAAAGACCTACTTTTCTTTTTCTTTTTTTTTTTTTTTGCTTTGCCTGTACATATTTTGTTCAACAATATTCCTTAGAGTCCTAGCCTGTGGGTGTTCTGCCATTTTTCTTCACACAAAGCATGAGGCTGCAGGGGAGCCACATCCATGCAGATCCCGGGCAAAGGAAGGCACCAGCATTTCTGTCCCTACAGGCTTCCCCCACAGCTACTTTATTTATTACATATTTCTATATGAATGTTCAACACCTCTGCTCTAACGTGCAGCAGAGCCATGTTTTTGTGCTTTGCCTGCTTTTGTGGAAGGTGCCTTATCAGAGCTCAGAATTCATTCTGCCTTTCAATATTCTGACTCTTCCACAGGATGATGGTTGGGGAGGGGGTGAACCACACAGGAATTGGAGAGAATCTATATTTAGCTGATTTTACTCCATCCTCAAACAAAACGAAAAACAAAATTGGCAAGATGCCTTAGATCACTGCTTTTCTGGAGGAACACTCCCAGGTCCAGGGAGATAACATCATTGGAGTCAAATACTGCACCTGCTATGCCCTAAGCGGCCCTGGCACTTGTAGCTTCAGGGGCCTTGTCAGCAGGGGAATCCAGATTGTGTGCCTGAGAGGGGAGAGAAGGCTGAAGAAAGGGCAACGTTTTATGAAACATACATTAAATAGCGGTTCCTTAACAGGCTTTCAGAAGCTATTTGTCTTTATTAGTCATCTCTCCCCACATATGCTTTTAGAAAGCATTTCAAATTGTTGATCACGATTTGATACTATCGATTTTCCGCTCCCTGAAAACCAAAGTATTAGAAGATGGTTAATTATGAAACTGTTTTTATTTTTCCCCTTCTGTAGATTAAAAGAGTCTGCATGAAATCTCAAATGTGCCGTGATGGCTAAGAATTGGAATAGGACCCTCAACCGCCCTACTTTTTAAAATAAATTAACACCACCCCAACTTTGTTTTATTTAAATTCCATTGTTAGCAGAAGAGGTTGTTGTTATTTCAAAGGGTTACACTCCTGGAAGGAAAAGAGCACACTACTTTTGAAGAATACTGTTCTTTCTTGTTCCAAGCTCCATTGCCTCCGAGTGGTGGGGGGTCGCGACAGCTTAGCTCTGCGAGGGAGGCTGTACATCCCTGCACTTGAAGGCGCAGTGGAGCCACGCACACAGGCACAGCTGCAGCCTCCCGGCGGGAGCAGAGGGATGGACCCTTAGCGGTGGCGGTGCTGCCTCCCCGTGCAGCCAGTGAGCTCCTCTCCTTCCAGGACAATCAGGTAAGCTGAGATTATTATTGAGCTTGCTGTTACCGCACGCAAGAAGCCCAATGGTACCGAAGCTTAGCTGTGATGATTTCCTAGGGATGATCCCTTTAGTCAACCAGGGTGTCCTCAAACAGGGGAAGAATGCTTGCATTTTCTTTATAAAGGGTGGGAACTACTCTCTCTAGAACTTGGATACGTTTGTTGCACCAGCTGGGACAAAATTTCCACAGGTAGCAGAGGGCGCTGGCTCGAGGGAGGAGGGGGCGACGGAGGTTGAGATACCACTCCCCGCTCCCAGCATCGCTCCTTTCCCAGATGCTAACCGTCTAGGAGCCTAACCCGTGCTTTCAATACTGTTTTTCAGCCCCGGATTCAACAGTGACAGCTGACTAGGGGAGCCCGGAATACCCTTCCTCCCTCACGGGCTTGGAGAGTGCCCTTTGCAGGTCAGTACTGACGCGGACTTACTAGCTCTCTGAGCCCTCACCCCTTAATCCCATCCCACTCCAGGGTAGGCGCGGGTAACAGGATCCCCATTTCTCGCCGATATGCTCAACGTGTCGTTCCTGGAACCCGAGTTCTCCAACGAGACGAACCCGGCTCCGCTGCCGCTGGCACTGGCTGTGGCGGTACCGGTGGTGTATGCGCTGATCTGTGCTGTGGGGCTGGTGGGCAACTCGGCGGTGCTGTTCGTGCTGCTGCGAGCGCCGCGCATGAAGACGGTCACCAACCTGTTCATCCTCAACCTGGCTATCGCCGACGAACTCTTCACGCTTGTGCTGCCCATCAACATCGCCGACTTCCTGCTGAGCAGGTGGCCCTTTGGGGAGCTCATGTGCAAGCTCATCGTGGCCATCGACCAGTACAACACCTTCTCCAGTCTCTACTTCCTCACGGTCATGAGCGCCGACCGCTACCTGGTGGTGCTGGCCACCGCCGAGTCGCGCCGGGTACCTGGCCGCACTTACCGCGCCGCTCGCGCCGTCAGCCTGGCGGTGTGGGCGCTCGTTACCCTGGTCGTACTGCCCTTCGCGGTCTTCGCCCGCCTCGACGACGAGCAGGGCCGGCGCCAGTGTGTGCTGGTCTTCCCGCAGCCAGAGGCCTTTTGGTGGCGGGCCAGCCGTCTTTACACGCTGGTGCTGGGCTTTGCCATCCCAGTGTCCACCATCTGTGCCCTCTATACCACGCTGCTGTGCCGGCTGCGCGCCATCCGGCTGGACAACCACGGCAAAGCACTGGACCGCGCCAAAAAGCGGGTGACCATCCTGGTGGTGGCGATTCTGACCGTGTGTCTGCTCTGTTGGACACCCTACCACCTGAGCACCGTGGTGGTCCTTACCACGGACGTCCCACAGACGCCACTCGTCATTGCCCTCTCCTACTTCATCACCAGCCTGAGCTATGCCAACAGCTGCCTCAACCCCTTCCTCTATGCCTTCTTGGACGACGGCTTCCGCAAGAGTCTACGCCAGCTGATGGTGTGCAGGGCATCAGCCTGACTCCCTTGCTCGCTCTGTTCCTTGCTGGCTCAGGAACTCGGGCCAGGGCAGGAGGGGTGGATGCCTACAGCACTTCAGTGTGGTCCCGGAAAAACAGCCTTGGTGTCCAGAGGAAATTCGCTGGGGATGCAGATTCTTGGACCCCACCCCGGACTCGGCTGTAGCTGTGTTCCCAATTTGAGTAGCCAATCCTTCTGAGCGAAGCTGAGTATCAGATTACGCCACATTGACTGTCTTAAAAGTTGCAGACAACCCCCTAACTTGGCTCACAAAGTGGAGGAGGAGCAGGGCCGGGGCCATAACACCTGGGAGCTGTCCACTTCTAACCCTCAGCCCCCTACCTCCGGCGACCTGTGGTGAAGAGTATCCTCCGCCACCCCAGGAGATGCTGGGCGCCACTTAGGGTGTCACTTAGGCGAAGGCTCCCTTCTAGGATCTGCACTTTGTTTCTCCGCTTTGGAGAGCCACTTCAGGCAGCAGAGGAGCAGCACAGGCTGGTCCCCCAGTCCTCCAGTGCTCCTTCTGGCAGCTGGGCCGTGAGGTCCCTAGTTGCAGAAAGACCCACTTCTCCGAGATACTCAGTTCTTGTGGAGTCCGCAAGAGCAACTGCGTGTACAGCTGAGGAGGGGCATGGTTTGAAGCCAGCAGGACCCTGGCTGTCCAGGTCCCTTTTCCTACCCTTGATGGCACCTGAAAACGAGCTCTGGAAGGGCCTGGAGCAGAGAGGAGTCTACAGGGGCACTGTTCCCGCGCTCCCTGCAGGAGCCAGGTGCGCTGAGCAGAGGCTCCTAGTTTAAGGGCAGGGTTTTCCCTGGAGCTCCCTGCTACCTGCCTTTACGCCACACAAGCAGTTATCAGTGCTGTTTCCTGCAAATTTCCGAAGTTCCTCACCTCTCTTTGGCCAATTGGCCTCGCACACCGCTGGAATCAGTTCGTTGCAATGGTGTCTGTGCTGCTTCAGAGGTTAGATTTCTCTTATGTAGATGTTTTATTGGAGGTCTGTGGACTGCCAGTACCAGAAGCACTGACAGTTAAAAGTGGTCAGTAGGCCGGATCTCAGAAAGGGAGCCAATGGGTCCCGTACCTGCATTGCATCTCTGCTGATGGAGACAGGAAGGTGTACTAAGTGAGAGAGCTGGCACTTGATGACCTAGTTGTCTGTACTCCACACCAGAACGTGAACCAGAATCTGATCATTGACTATACTATTTTAAAAAGCATTATTCTTTTGGATGAATTTCTTTCTAACAGAAATATAAGAAATATTTCTTATAGGGAGGCCCAAGTGGTTTTGCTTAAGAGTAGAACTGACACCAGGTTTTGTTGGCCTCATTTGCTTGGGATTTACACCAAGTCTCAGTTACTTAGGTTCAGAAATAACTTTTAAAGAATATATGGAACAGAAACAGCTCCCTCTTGAGTTGGGGAAGCAATCTGTCTGGCTTTAGTGACTTAGATTTGATTCCTCAGCTTTCGGGGGAGCAGTGAAGTAATCCCAAGCTCCCAGTTTAGATAATGTGAATTTAGCTATTTCCTGTCACAAGTAACAAATAAAGTAGATTGCTCACAGTGAAGGTTTCATTCCAGGGCATTTTGAATGATGGACATCATGGCATTTGCACAGGCTTCTGTTGGTGAGTTTCAGAGACCTGCTGTTATACATTTCAGTATCTTTTTAAGTCAGTAGGCAACATTCTGCTGATCTTCTTATTATCATCTCAAAACTAAGGTTTTAAACTTGTTGATAGGCATAGATACAGCTGGATACAATCATCTGCTTTGCAACCTTCACTTGTCTTTATAAACTCAATAAGTGGATTCAAATAGGGGAGAGTGATGGGATCCATGTTTTCAGTACATCTGCTTGAAACTGTCTCAGAATCCACAGGAAGGACTGTTGGGAGCACACAGACATTGGCACGGCTCTATCTTCAACCCCAGGATGTGGACTGACATCCTAGCATGTTTGTGAAACTAAATAGGACTCAGTTGTGTGGTTTCATCCTGGTTCTGCATTGCTGGCTATGTGGTTGTGTTACTGTCTCTAGATGTGAACCTCATAAAAGCTTGTTGACATTCACATTGTGTCTTAGACTTCCTTGCTAGGTCTTAGTTAGAATAAATAAATCTTGCAAATATCTAATTTATTTATATCATTGTGTTGATAGGTATTAATTCTGTGTCTAATTCTTGCAATCTGTGTAAGTTCTATTATTTGATTTTAACGCCCATGGTATATTAAAATGTTTGCCTTTCCCTCAGTTTTAGACACTTGTGAAATGTGGGTGCTCTTCTTGAAAAAATGTGGAGATTCTGTTATGCCTTGCGGATGAACTCGATATAAATAAAAGCTAAAACAGGCTATGTGATATTGAACATTGTATTTCCTGAAAACATTGGATCTATAATCCAGTCAGTTTAACCTGTATGTACTATGAGCTTTACACATATTACCCTCATGGTAAAGTTATCTGAGTAATCAGTGAAGAATGGAATGGAAGTATTTGATAGATTACAGTTCAGAGGAAAGTGCTCCCCCCTCTCAGTCTGCCTGGTTGTGAAAAAGATGCAAAGCTCTTGACTGCTAGAGGTTCTAGAACATCTATTGCACGGAGAAAGGATATGAAATGAGGTCTACACAATTGCAGACCTCCATTCTTGGATGGCTGAGCGTCTGTGAAGACAGTGAAAAGAGAAATTGCTTAAATACTTAGTGTATACTATGTTATTTCAGTTGTCAGTATATATAGCCAGGGAAGAAACACAAGCATACTAGAAAGAGTTTTTGGAAAATTCAATTAAAAGATAACCTTATTTTACTGCAGAAACTTTGAAATGCACACACATGGTACATCTTCACAAAATTCACGGACATGAACATTATGAAAAGAGTTTGCATATATTTCAATAACTTACAAAATTAATTTACCTTTGATTTCTACTTGCTATGAATTTTTAAAAAGTACTCCAGTGTGTGTAAAATAAAGGAGTTCTCCTGGAAAATCTCAAAGAATTGCTGTAGACTCCTCTTCACTCTGAGCAAAGAAAAACAAACAAGCCATCTTCTGCCTCAGAAAGGAATCATCCTAGTCATTACAGAAAGGCATCAGAGAATTCTGCACACAGTGGTTGTTTGATAAGACTGCATTGGGTCTGACGCTCTGGTACCTACTTTACAAAAAAAGTAAAATGTGAAGAAGTAGGTTTACCCAGACCCACCGAAATCAAGGTCAATCAGAGCCATTAGGTTCCTTTTCTGGGAATTTTCTTATCCCATTTTGACAGAGATGGAATAGGTCGCAATGTGTGATCTGGAAATAAGAGACTACAGAAACCACAGATGTTTTTGAAATATTTAATTAAAGCAAGATTCATCTACTATTTTAAGAGATAAAGGGAAGGCACAATTTAACAGTTTAACAAAAGGTATCTCAGAGTTTTACAAAGTGTTGGGTTGTTCAGGGTTATATAATAAAAATCCCTTCGCTGGAACCAGCCTTACTCCTCAAGAGAAAAGGCTTCAAGTGCTCTCCAGTCTCAGGGCCCCATCTAATTTGCAATCAAGTTGGGAAAGATGTCAACATTCCACCTCGAAGAACCAAGGGTATTGTTATATTCCTCTATGTAACCTTATCTTGATTCCTGTAACTCCTCTCCCTATAAGAATACTACCCATCATTGCTATATTTTTACCTGGGATCCCAGTCAAGAGAATTTCTCACATAATTCCTAAGCGGTAATTGATTTTACCATTACAACTTTTAATTTTGTTTATTTCATTATAGCATGTATTTTAAAAATTGCATTTAAAATGCAATTGAGTTTCAAATGCACAAAACATGTTGGTCTGGAAGCGGTAGCACCTATTGGAATGTGCAAAAACCAGGTCTGTGGGCCTGGGATGCCTCTGCTAGATTGCAGCATCCACTGGTTGTGTACAAGAATTGAGGTGCTAAACCAAGCTGGGCCACAGCACCGCAGACATGCACAAAATCCTGGAGCTGGGGATGGGCCAGATAAGGGGTTCTTCAGGGTTATTCCGACTAGACCACGGCACCTGCTGGTGCATGTGAGAGCCAGGCCTAGAACTGGGCTAAGCTGCAGCATCCACTGTTTCACATAACAGGTAAGGGCTGGGGTAAGGCTGACAGGCAGCTGCACCTGGTAGTTATGCTGGCTGGTGTAGGGAGTGGATTAAGCCTTACCTTACACCAGCTGGTGCACACAAAAGCAAGGTCTGAGGACCTCCTAGGTGAAGTTCCTAAGGGGATTCCCCATCTAGACTTCTGCACTCAATCCCAGCTTCAGGGAAAATCAGAGACATGTGGTCCAACCCCAGAGCAAGTATTGCAGGCCAAGAATTCCTTAGTTGCTGACCCTCATGCAAGGCTGGAGAACATATGCAGGGAAAGACAAGACAGCTGGCTCATCTAAGCCAACTCTGAATTACCTCTTCAAAGGATGGAAAGAAGGACAGGTGAGGCATCATTCCAGGCCACACTCTACAACAAGCACCTACATCAGTGGACACAGTGAGGCACAAATGGACAGCCAACAGTTCTTAGAATTTATCACCTCTGGTATAACAAAGCCAACAATTTCACTGAATAATCAAGACTACTCGAGTAACACCCTCGGAACATCCTTCCCCACATTAAGACCTCAAAGGTAACATCAAACATCCATCTCTGTCCCGGGCACTGCTTCAGTGTGACAGTAAGGAGTGAAGCACTTTGCCCTACTTCATTCCCCACCCTTAGGAAAAGAAGCAAAACTGAAAGCTTTTGTCTCATCCACCTTCCCCTCACCCTGCTCCACTCCAATTCTCCCCATCCCAATTTGAGTCTCACTGGGGTCTGCGACGCCCACACCTTTATAACAAATATTGACATTTTAAAAATTAATGAAGACATTTAAAAACAGATATTTAATCAAAATCAAACATTTGGGGAATGAATCAGTAAAGGGTCTCTTTCTCTAATAAATAAATAAAAGTTTAA